CATTGGCTGAGTGCGGTGCGGGCACAGCGCCAAGGGTTGCGATCCCGTTGCCGATCCCCGGTACGGGAGCAGCGCCGAGGGTTGCGATCCCGTTGCCGGTCCCCGGTCCGGTGCGGGGGCAACACTGAGGGTTGCGGTCCGGTGCCGGACACGGAAAAAAGCCAAAAAAAAAAAAAAAAAGAATCTGACATATAGTGCATGTTATCCCTTCCTTCTTCTGCAGTATTATGATTTCTGGTGACTTCAGAGTTTTCACACATATTCTGTTTGTCCTTTCTGTTATCTTTGTATGGCTAAATCCTACTCAACTTTCCAAGTTAAATTTAGTTGTCACTTATTCTGATGAGCATCCCTGCTGATTCCTCCTCTCCCTAACCTATGACACATCATACTCTGGGGTTGTGGCCCCTTCTATGTGTTTCTACATCTTCTCTTTCTGAGTACTTGCCATACTGTATTGTAGATCAATGCTCACTTGTTTTGAGTTTGCCACAAAACTATAAGTTCCATGAGTGAAATAGTTTTATTTCCCGTGTTTCACATAGTGCCTGATACAGTAAATGTATGATAAATACTTGGTAACAGAATGAGTGAGGACAGATAAGATCTAAAGTAGGATAGAGAGATCACCACTGAGAGGTAGAAAGGGCCCTAGAAGGACATGGGGCCACTGACTGCCATGGTCATCTTCACAGGTTTCCATTTCAGTTTTTAAGTTTAAGGAGAAGTAGAGGCTATATGTGTATTTTTGTTCTCTGCAGTTTTACATAAGCTTTATTAGGTAGAAATGTTGTCCATGAGCTGTCTGTCCCAGGACAAAACTGCTGGATGTAATTGAAAAATATTTTATTTCATTTTTTAAATTTTGGCAGCTGGCTGGTACAGATATCTGAACCCTTGACCTTGGTGTTATGAATACTGTGTGTGCTCTAACCAACTGAGCTAACTGGCCAGCCCCCTATGGTTTAGGATCTAAGTTACAGAGAAATTTTATTCTGTGGGGATGGTTAATGGAGGAATTACTATAATCTCACTAGGAACTTTCCCATCTTTCGAAAAGTTAACTGGAACATGGGACTTTCAAGCCCAAGTCTGTTGCACTTGCTAGTAGTATTCAGCAAGATAGGAGGAGTATCTCTGATTATGAGAGAAAAAAAGTAAGCAAACACATCATGTTCTAATAATCATTAAAAAATATTTTAGTTGAGCTGACACATCACTTGCTTGGTGAAGGAATGGATCAACTGACCAGTTTTTGTAAAAGTTTGATGGTGTTTCATTCAGGAGCAAAAGTTTCTCTGATGAATGCTTTTAAATGTCAGCAGGAAGAAAGAGGGGAAGATCATACCAATCTTCCATTAAAAATGGGCACTGTTTTTCAGTTATTCCATTAATCTGACTAGTCCAAGAACCACAGTGAGATCTGCATTTCAGCTTATCCTTGAAAAGGCATAATTGAAGAGTTCAGTCAAATCCTAAGAGGCTGGCAGAAGATTTTTGTCTCTGCTGTCAATGCCACATAGCTGCTGCAGCCTTTGCTTCACAGAGGTTTGGTTCATAGGGTCAACTTCTCCTTCTGTTGCAGGGGAGCGGCAAAGAAATTCACCAGAAAGACCATCAAAGTTACATTAAATAGCTCAAATTTTACAGAAGTTAAATTCCTGCCAACGTTTTTAATTTATCATGCAATTAAAAATGTTACTCAGTCTAACAACACACAAGAGGGAAAAAGAATGAAAAAATGAGATTTCTTTGGTATTATCAACCCATCTCAATTGGCTCTAACTGTTATGGTACAGATGGTTCATTGAATAGTCTGCTCTTGGCAATTGGGCCGAGGAGGTGGGGGTGCTATTTCAAAGTGTGTGAAATGACAGGTGGAAATCTAACTTGTATGCGTGTCTGCCTCAATCATCGACTTCCTGTTGTTTTTAGTCTCTCTGCTGCTTCATTGTACTGCTTAGACAGCAGGGTTGGAGGTGAAAAAAGATGCTAGTTTTAATGAACATTTAGTTTGAATATAGCTTCTCAGGTTTAATGTGTGATTCTTCAGGAGAATAAGGCAATTGATGAACATGTTATGTTGTGAGGGTTTAAAAAAAATCTAAATACTGCCTCTCATGACCAAAATAAGCTCTAGGTTTATCAGTCTTACTGTGCCTTGGTTTTCTCATATGAAAAAATAGAGCCGTTGTCAGTCCTTACTACTTTAGGGGGATATTTTGACTATTAAGTTAGATATTAAAATTCTGGAAAAATTAGAATAGCTATATTGATTTAAATTAAAATTACACTTTAAAAAAATATCATTTTGCTATCATGAGTACTGCATCTGCTTCCCTACCTCTCATTTTTTCAACTCCAGTCCACTGAGTTGGATGTCCTCAGGGTCACCCGTGACCTCCATCTTGTCAGACTCAGTATTTGCTTTTCTGCATTCATCTCACTTGATCTTTCAGCTGGTATTTTCTTTTTCTCCTCTTGTGTTCTCTCTGAGTCTTCTCACGACCCTTTTGTGCCTCAGGGTTTGGTCCTGGGATTTCTTCTATGCTCACTCTATAGACTCTCTTCAAATGATGTCAGCCAACAGCAAGCTTTACTTAGTGCCTAGGTGCAGATGACCTCCACATCTATGTCTCCTGCTCTCTTCCAGCATCCTGCTCCCCATCCTATAATTCTTTATCACCACTTTTCAAAAATGTTCCTCATAATAATTTTGTTAATATGTACGTGTCTTATGTATTTGCTAACTTGTTAATTGTCTGCACTTCTCTTCATCCAGAATGCAAGCCTTAGTCATTGGTGCACACCAGTGCCTAGGATAATGCTTAGCTTGAATTAGGCACTTAAAAAATATATGATCATATATTAATATCTCCTTAATTGTAGGTATTAGCCTACTTTTTGAGAAATACTATGGGAGCTTTAATTAACAGAGTAGGAGTCCTGTGATTTGTCTTCTGACATTTTTAAGGATAACAAAACTTATGAATGGGTAGAGTACATTAATTGCCATTGATTCAAGTAGAAATGTATGT